ATATCGACTGAGATAAAGAAGAAAATGAAATATTAAAATCATGATGTATCTCGCTGCATTGCGCGAGTACGCTTCTAGTTTTTTAAAATAAAGAATATGTTAAAGTTAGGTGTTTTTTTTTTTTTTTCCTAATGAGTTTCAAAAATATTATCATTTCATATAAGATTTGCTTTTGAAAATTATTAAAAAAGATATTAAATATTTATATAATATAATTAATGTTAAAAAAATTTAAAAAGAGAAAATCGTTGGAGTTAATGAAATTTTTGTGAATATTTTTATTTTAAAAATAAATATATGTATATATAGAGAGAGAGGGGGGGTGAGTTATTATACAAACTTTTACATTTCTACAGTCAATACAATTCAATCTCAACTCTCTATTTAATTTGATGAATATGTGATTTCATAAAAGTTTTGATTGTTTCGTAATATAAAGTATTGATCATAATTAATAAGTCATAGTCATCTTTCATAAATATTTAAATCATAATAAATGAACTCTTATCATTTTCATATATATATATATATATATATATGTATATGTGTGTGTGTGTGTTTTTTCTTTTATGTGTTTTTTGAAGATGATGTTACTCGATTTAAGATCACCTACTAATAATCATGCAATATGAATGTCTACAAAACATGATATTAAACTTGTGAGTTTTGCACTTGCACTTGCACTTTAATTTGAATTTTCTTACCCTTAATAATTATTATATATTGACAAAATACAAATCTTTCTTTCACCAATAGATACAAAATATACTTCAATTTAACTAACAATCTCTTTTCCCTTTTTTGATAAATTTATCAAATCAAAAAATATATATTTAAATTTTGAATGGTAAAATATTTATATATCGACGAATACGAAGGATTTTTAAAACATTTTTCTTGAAAACGAATGCATACACATGATTGGCTTTTAACTGAACCAAAACAAGCAACAAGAAACTTAGCTCCTGCATTTTGCAAGAGATGTTGGATCATATTTCTGATGCATGATTCTCGATTCAGTGCTTAATGTCTGTCTTTATGAAAGGTGCGTGATATACGTAATATGTGATCTTTCCTACTATATTTCTCCGTTGCATTTTGTGCAAGGTTCATGACTTGAGTCTTGTCGTATGTGTGTAGTGCTCGATTCGTCCTTAGAGTATTTCCTCGACATCAATTTGCATATGATTATACTTTTTTAGTATGTGTAGTGCTCAATTCTCCCTTGAGTATTCGTTATCTACGTACATCTTGCATATGATTCAAGTATGCCGTATGTAAAAATGTGATCCTCTTCTCATCCCAATTGGCGTAAGATCCATAACTCAAGTCTTGTCGCATGTGGGGTACTGCTTGATTCGCTCTTAAGTATCGTTACTTGCATCTTACATATGATTCAAGTTTGTAGCATGTTAAATTGTGATCATCTTTTGGTTCTTACCACTTGATTTGCACAAGATCTATGATTTCAAATTGAAAGGTTTGATTTTCTATTTACCGTTCCTCTGCGTTTTAAGCAAAAGAAAAAAAAAAGTGTCGGTATTTTTAGCCTTCAGTTTTCTAAATCTAATACAAAATGTCGGTGCGACAAATTATACGGTTCCATGTATTAGCATCAAATAGGTTAAATTTTCTATGTCTAGCACCTAATGCAGTTACTTTTACATTAGATAAAATACTATAGGTGTTGAAAAAACTATAAGTAAATCGGGTTATAAGGTCAATTTAAATGACACATTTGCAAGGTGGATTGGAAACCATATTTTATACTAGAAAGATATTCGCACAATGTAGCAAGATACATTTCGATTTTGATATTTCGTTTTATTTTTTTTTGTCTCAGTCGATGTTATAATACGGTTTTGAAAAAACGGTGATGTTTTTATTTTTGAATAAATATAAATATAAAAATATCATAAAAATTTGAAAAAAAATTGTGATATTAGTATCAAACTAACTATTTAGAATTTCTCATTTTTTTATATTTTTTTAATTCATTTTTTTATTTTTGGTTTAATAATATAATTTTTTTATAAAGATAATAATTAAGTATTTTGTTAGAGCTCAATGATTATCCTAATTATATTTTAATTTTTTTATATTTAAAATGAGATGTTTATCCTTTATTTGATTATATTTATCTGCAGTTAGTTACACGATTCAAACATGAAGCTTTAATAAGTTGTACTTACGCACAATTTACTTGTAATCTTGAATTTTAAGTAATATGCATCAATAACTTCATGCATAAAAAAAATGGTTTTTAAGAGTTTTTATCAAATACTTTATAATATAGTATAGATAAACAAAAAATCCAAAGGTTTGTGAGATAACCCTTTGAATTTTATTAATGATTATGGTATGGTGAGGTATAAGGAGGGTACATAACGATTACCTTCCTTGTGATCCATCGTTTTATCTTAACCAGAGATATAAAAAGAAGTCCAAACGTGGACTATGCCAACTTTTTTTTTCTAACGCCTAGTTAAAGTTCGACCTGTACTCGTCCTGAACACACTTTTTAAACTTACTGGAAACAAACTTAAAAGGCTTAGGTTTTATATATCTGTAATCTTAACAATCACTTCAGTTGGACTTTTGCAACCATTATCACAATTATGGAATATGTAAAAGGTTGTGACCAATGGATGAGGGTTAATGATGATCATTAAGAGAGGTTATGATGGTTGAGGATGATCATTAAGAGAGCTCTATGAGGGTTAATGATGGTCATAAGATATTGTCTAATCATTCATTTCATTTATATATTTTGTATTGATTAAGAGAGGTTATGATGGTTATAATCTTTTAGGAATATTAGGGGAGACCATAGGGATATACATTACTTGGAAACAAATAGATTCATGAAAACCAGAAGGATGAGTGGGATAATCAAGCTGCAATAAATCCTTACACCAGTGCTTGACTTTATTGATAATAGATGAAGAAGACATAGCAACTGAATCATGAACATATGCATTTCTAGCAAGCCAAATCTCCCAACAACCAGATAAGATAAAACTACCTTAATGATATAGAAAGTGACTTATTCGGTAAGCTTCTAGGGGAGCTTTTTGTTAGGACTAAAATAGTCCTAAGTTTATGAAAGTTATATAAAGTCTTTTACTTTGTATTATATTGTAATATTATTGTAATTGGGATTAAGGGTATTGGGCTTTCAATGTAAATGTCACCTATAAATAGAAGACATGGGCTTAGAATTCTAGTTGTTAATTCAGTTGTTCATTTTCTGCAGATTTAATGATCGTATAGATAGAATGAATCTATTCTTCTCTGACAGCAATTGTGAATCCCAGATCTAACTACAATTCAATATACAAACAGTAATTGAAAGAATTAAGAGATGAAGATGAACTTGATGAACGGCCGATTATCTTATTCATGAAAGCAGTAAACACAAAACAGTATCGCAATAACAAAGCCAATATAACAAGTGATTTGAGATGCAAGGAAGTATAATAACAAATACATAACACTGTTATATGAGGGTATTTTTGTCATAAAAAATCCCAAACTCCTTTCAAAAAGATTTAGCTGGAATAATATTTCCCCTTTTATTCATTTCCTTTCCATCCTAATTTTTTTAGAGAACACATGGCTTTTTTGGTCTTTTCCTCCTTTTATTTAAGAAGAGGTCTCAAGAATAGAGTGTTAATCATATATAAAATGTTAGTTGACATACATCTTCAATTACATATTAATTATAACTCAAATACTTTATAATGTATAATACATTGACACAATAACCATATAATGTATTTATACTTGACTAGTTGTATACCCGCGCAATGCGGCGGGAGCCGTGAATTTTAATGATTTTGAAGTTTTATTGGTTTTATTATAGAAGATTTAACAATGATATAAGTTACACTTGGTCTTCACATATTAATACAATTTGAATAAATAAGAGTTATGTTTTCAATTATAATCTATCGATGAAAAAAAATTGTATGACAGTTTAGAAATCCAACATATTTAAACGACTCCAGAAATGTGTCCGATTTACACCAAGAGCAAAGAATCAAGTGATCGAGAGCGAGACCAAGAGTTCTCGAGCAATTGAATGGGAGATGAATGAGAAAACTTTTAATAACTCATAGTGAATATGAGTTTGAATCTCACCTTGGGAGATGGAAATAAGACATAGAGGTATGAGAGGGTGAAGACATGAGTGAAAGGTGTCAAAAGTATCTTCGGAACATGAAAAGAAAAGGTAATAACATGCATTGGTAACTTAAACTATATGTTATTTTGATTGTAGATTAAAAGATTTTAAGACTAAATGTATAAAGTAATAGTAATTAATGCATTATGAGTTGTTTTTAAGACTTTATGCATTAAAAATTGTTTTTAAGACTTTTGTTAAATCTGATTTATAAGGTAGTATAGATAATGAAGCTGAAACACTTTCTTGTGCTCTTCACGGACATCCGTGAAGACTGCTACTATAAGCTACAAGACACGACACTCTTGAAATATCACACACTAAGTGACAAGCTTAATCGGCCATAAGGAACAACATAAGAGCATCTTCAGTGGATTGACTTATAAAAACGTTATTTTTACACTTTTTCTTGTCACGACAAATTAAGAATCTCCATAAAACTCCACTATGGTTGTAACTTACAAGAATCCCACTTTTTGCTAAATTAAATGTGGATCTATAAGTAAAAAATAAATAATAAAAAAAAACTAAAAAAACAACATTTGACAATGAAAACAAGAGCAAGGTTCTTGCACAAGAACCAGTGGAACATCCAAATGCAAACTGGTGTTACCAACACGGAACCGTAGACAGTTGAGTGAAATCTAATCCACGAAATAATTTGATCTATTGACAGCATCATTGTGCTACACGTCGTCAAAAATGGTGGCGGCTTATAAGAATCCTCCACTATGGTATTAACTTATAAGAACCTCCCATCATGGATGCTCTAAGGTACAACTTTTTGAAGCAAGTTTAACCAACATGAGGTACAACATGATGATGCACATCAATCTTAAGATGACTTTTACAGGCAAGAATAGCCCACTAATTGACACAACATACTGTCAACTTAGAAAATAAAAGATAACTGTACAAATTTATGGTCTTAAAGTGCATAGATTGAACAAATTACGAATAGAAACATAATGAGCATAGATATTGCTATAAGGCACGAAAACTGTCGGCTTTCTCAAGTCTTGCAGTACCTGAGCTTGATGTTTCCCCCATTGCATCTGGAGATGCAGCTACTTGCGATGTCTCCCTCTTCAGCGAAGCTGGCATCCCCGATATCTCCTGAATTCCATCGATCAATATTTAAAATCACCCAAACAACCTATCAACAGCTTTACATGTTCAGGGTCACTGGTGATATTTCTGGCTGTCATCTCAGGGACCCATGGAATAATCGAGGTGCGCACAAGCTGGCACAGACACTTGCCCAAAAAAGCAGCTTTGGCAAAGACAATGGGGTAGAGATATGGATCATGCAACCATATCCATGTCTGTATCAGTTTTTACCGGATATATTGGTTTTTGTTGGGTAAGGGATTCGGCTAGATTTTAGATACACTATGGATTAGATAGTGCCTCATACTTGATGAGATTGAAACAAGCAATATTGATATTAATGGTGGAAAACATATTGTATCATGAGCAATGAATGAAATCCTTGTTGATTTAATCAAATTCTTATTTAACAGTTTAGCAATTGCATGTTAATATAGTATATGAAAACATTGCATTTGCTTATATTAGACATAAATGCAGATCACTGAATGGGTACAGATGCAGGCGACTATATGGATGTTCGGATATCCATCTACAGCACAGTGGGTATTTAGTTTTGCTATGGTTGAGGAAAGAAGTCTTTTTATGAATATTTACCAAGGAAACTATTTCCCTGACTCGAACCTTGATTTTCCAGTCACAAAGTAGTAACCTTGTTGGCTGCTCAAGAGTAGTCCCTATGGACGGGTTTACTTGGCAGCATTTTAGTTTTCTTCTTTGATATACATCGACCCATTTACCTTGGGACATTTCCCTTTCAACTGCTACTATAAAATTTAAGTAGGTTTTTATCAAATAAAATTGAAGGAAAAAAGCATATACGCACAAATTTGTATAGCAACCATCACCAGTAGTGCATGTCTTAAAGCATAATAAAATGTACGGGCCCATCAAAAGGTATGATTTAAAGCACAATTGGGAGATGACTATGGACCAAATTTTGTAACTGGTCATAGTTTCCAATGTCTAAATAGAAAGTGTTTGACCAGAAATGAGCAAGAACAACTGTAATTCAAAGTACCTTCATCAAATGCAATCTCATATCACAAGGACGAGCTTGAAATCCAATACATGCCATCACAAAATTTGAATATTGAAACGTAACATCTGCAGCACTTTGCTTCTTTTGCTCAACCTGCAGTCAATATTTAAGTTATGCATCAAGGAAGAGGAAATAGGTGACAGAATTTTAACACAATTACTGTGACGTGAAACACATCCAAAACCCCTAACCACCCACAGTGCAGGAAATAACTCATATCAATAAGCATAAAAAAACAGATACAGAGGTACCAATTCACAAGGGTAAAAATGCAAAGCCTGCAAAAAAAACAAACCATTCTCTTCCATTCTCTATCATATTTACTTTCTTAAAACTAATCAACCATCACCTAATTTAACCCTTTTGGGGTAGCTTAACTGGAAAGGACTTGGGTTTGCTCTCCAGTGGTCACCAGTTCGAATGCCCTCCAGACCACTAGAGGTTTGTCAGCCTATTAACCAGACTCAAACCACTAGAGGTTTGTCTGGCTGTTAACTCCAGGACTTTATGGGATCAGTCGAGGTGCACGCAAGCTAGTCCGGACACCCACAATTATCCAAAAAACCATCACCAAATTGTCCTCTAAACAAACACTAAACATGCAGTGTTATCTAGAGTAACATGGAGACTTAGACACCAGCATGCTTTGTTGCTGAATTAAAATGTTTTAAGGAACAAATCCTACATAACCATTAGTGGCATCAACAGTAGTACTTTCCCAGTCTTTCAGAGAATCAACCATTCAAACTGAAAAAGATACTTCCTCCATCTTCAGATAACAAATGCATTTAAGCTTCTGAGTGTCAAACCAAGTAGACTTTCCAAATACAGTAATCTTAGTGCAAGAAGTTTAGAGTATGCATTCATATTCAAGTTTAAACATAACTTCATTCAAAATAAAAACCGTAACTCAGAATCACTCATTGACTCATACTTATCTAGTTACCTCATCCAATCTTGTTGAAGAAAAATTAGCTATGAAACTCTGATGCAAACATACTCGCATAAATCATAATATGCCCTCATCAAAATTCATCTAACCATTTATAATATGATATTCAGTAACATAGGTAATTAAAAAGGTTTGATCAAAGTAACTAACCAGAAATTATGCACCTAGTGGTCTATGAGGATTTAGCCAGTCCTAAAAATTAAACTTTCCTTATGAATTTTGGTTGTTCTGTGAAGTTACATTAAAAATTACAACTAATATCATCCCTAACACTGGAACCAAAGAAAACCCTAACAAGCCATAAAACAAGTAATGAAACAAAACGAATAAGCAATTCGAATGAGAGAATATCATGGATATATACAGAATCATGTAAAATGAAATCTAGGGTTTTGCAGATACGAAGAAAACCAGAATTCCTATTGTCAAAACTAAAGGGATAATTCAGTGAATTATGGAGAAGGATACAAAATCTAGGTTTTTTCGTACCTCGTAATCGTCATTCATCATCGACTTCTGGATCTCCGCCTAAACAAGTCGCTCATAATCCATAAACGTTTACACAAATCAAACCACCAAAAATCTTGAATCAATTCCTAATCGGTTGGGAAAGAGTAGGAAGGAAGGGACACATGTATGGTTTCAAGGGGGTGTTCGGATTCCTTATTTTTACTTATTTCGGTCTGATGCAGCTAAAGATTTTTTATTATTTGGATAAACAACTCATACCCGTATCAAATTGATAACAAGTAGTTTTTGAAAAAGTTTAACCTTCTAACTTATAATAAGTTGATAAGTGTTTTTATAAAAAATATAAGTTGTTCCAAATATAAGTCGCGCATACGGTAACGAGGGGGATTCGCGGAACATAAACCCATACACGCTAAAGGGCGAGGGCCTCTCTCACTCCGCTTCACCTCCCCTGTAGGTAAGGAGCAAGCTAATTGTTGAACTTCGCCTAAGAATCTCGTGACCAATGAGAAACTTTATAAAGCAGTTTCATTGATCGCTTACCTAGACAACCTTTTTCAACAAAAGGAAATAGAAGTTGCTAGTTCGCTTAGGGGGGTGTTTGGGATTGCTTATTTGTAACAACTTTTTTTTTCTGTAAAAGTGCTTATTAACTTATATGGTATCAAAACGGAGTCTTGTAAAAAGTGTTTGGATTAGCTTATAGCGGTACCAAAAATGGTAAACTGGAAATAAGCAATTTTTCATAAGTCATGAATGATTAACTTATCAAAAACTGTTTATTACCGGTTTGACACCGGTATAAGCAGTTTTATTTTTCCTCATCCAAACACTAGCATTTAGCTTAATTACATGTGTCATAATGAAATATCTAAAAAGACTGAAATATTTCTTATTTTATAGGAGTTTTTTAACGACGTCAGTAATAAAAACTCAAAACGTTAAGTAAAACAAGCGACGAGGACCTGGTTTGTTTTGTGGAATCATTCGGTCAAAATGAATATTTTAATTTAATCAGTCAAATAAAGTTAATTAAACTAAAACCGGATTAAGAGGATTGAAAGTCAACCAACGTATATTTTAAATAATTAAAACCTTATAATTTTTTTTTTTAGAATTGAATTATTATTATTAAAAAAATAAAAGTTTTTATGTATCAATCCATACGTAGACATTTTTCACTCATTAGTTAATTTAATCCGTTTTAAAGAGCAAGTGATATGTAATTTGATATAAAAAGTTTAACGTTTCAACATCAAGTTTAAAATTCCAAACCATTTGATTTTTGACACCTAATATTCTTGATTTTCAACATACACTTGCATGTGTCATTGTGATTGATATCAATTTTTTTTTTTTTAAATTAACTTGGATATTCAACCTGCTATGGTAGCCGCCTAATTTTAGAGGGATTATCGGCTTTGCGGATAGCCAGGAGTCACCATATTTGAACCTCTGTGACCTCAAGGAGATTTTTTAATACTCGGATTTGAACCTGAGACCCCAGACACTTTTGATCTTTAGAGCTCATGCTTAAACCAATCGGACAACACCCTTGTGGTTAATACAAATTATTTTTATTGAGTCTAATCGTGACACTGATTTCAATTAAATAACACATGCAAAATGCAACTAAAATGGTCAGTCGTCGGACAAAACAATAGTCCTTAGCATGTGTTGCTTTCATGTTGCCAAACCTTCGGGCGTGTTCTAGTTGGATTAGGAGGAGATGTTTGTTGGTGAGACAAGTATTGATTCTCTATGTCTCTCTCTTTAAGGGTAAAATTGTAAATTAAACACTTAAGGATTAGTTTGCGGCTTAATTGGCTGTATAGGGTGTATGGCTTTTTTAGTAACCCACATCTTTTTGTTCGGTTATGGCTTAATTGGACAACCTATAACTTATTTGGTCAGCCAAGGGAACGCAATTATCGTTAAGACTGGAATTTAGTTTTTTTTGAGTTGTCGTTATTAACGTACTTCCGCACCATCATGAGATTACACTTCTTCTCAATCACGTAATATTACCCTTGTAACATATGAAGGATCAAAATACCAAATTATCCAAACCCGCAACCACACCCACCTGCACCTAGGGCTGTAAACGAACCGAACGAACATGGACAGAGACTTGTTCATGTTCGTTCGTTTAACTTAACCGAACAAACGAACAAACAAGAACGATAAACTAACAAAAATCTTTGTGTTCGTGTTCGTTTATGTTCGTTCGTTAACATGCTAAACGAAAGTAAATGAACGAACATAAGGGTGCGTTTGGTACGCTGGACAGAGTGGGACAGGACAGAACAGAACAAATTTGTCCTACGTTTGGCGTGGCTGAATATGGAACTAACTAGAACTAACTTGGACAAACCTTGGACATGCGTGTTCCACCTACACCCCTGGAACTAAGTGGAACTCAAATCTTTTTCCCTCTTTACCCCTTTTCTCACCCGGCTGGATAAAGAACCCTCGCCTCCATCGCCTCCATCTCCATCGCTGTCCTGTCCATCGACGGCGACATCTGTTGACGCCGAGCTCCAATCGACGTCCGGCGAGCTTCAATCGACGGACGGCGAGCTCCCCATCGACGGCGACATCATCGTGACTGTTGCTTCTCTTCTCTCCATAACCCTTTTCATCGCCTCAAATCCCTAATCGCGACTGTTCCCTAATCCGTTCTCTGTAAATCGGTGGAAATCGAGGATTGAGAATCGTGTATATATATATATATATATATATATATGTATAGTTACTTCTGGTGCTTGTGTAAATTAGTAGAAATCGAGGATTGAATCGTGTTCGATTGATTGGATTGTTGATCAGATGCACATAGTAAGGGCAATGGGTTCTTCGATTTCGATTGTGTTCTTCGTTTTAATCGATACATATGAAACAGATGGGTTCTTCGATTTCGATTGGATTCTTCGATTTCGATTGGGTTCTGCTGTCTTGCATCCGATTCGCATCTCTTGATCATTAGCATATAGAATGTTTGTTATTTGCCTGTATTTTAACTTAGTATAGAAGCAAAATAACGTTAGGGGTAAATCGGTCATTTTAACCAGTCCTGTCCTGTCTTACCAAACGCTGAACAGCTGTCATGTCCTGTCTCGTCCTGTCTGCGCACCAAACGCACCCTAAACGAACCGACTAAACGAACATAAATAAATATTATTTGAATTCAAAGTAAATAAATAAAAGATTATATATTAAATTTAATATATAAACGAACATAAACGAACAAATATAAAAGAACGTAAATGAACGAACGTTCACGAACATAAATGAACGAACGAGACTATTGTTCATGTTCGTTCGTTTAACTAAACAAACAAAAAGCTTTGTTCATATTCGTTCATTTACTTAAAAAACGAACTTCCCGTCGAACGGTTCACGAACAGTTTGCTGAACGTTCGGTTCGCTTACAGCCCTACCTGCACCACCAACTTAATAATCCAAAAATCACTCATTCTGAAGTAATATCCACACACATTTGCTTCATAGTTTCTTTATTTCTGCAAAGAACCTTGTGATCTTCAAGCCAATGTCAATGTATATAAGACATGTTCATTAATAAAGTGATAAGTTCTTCCTTTTTACTCTGCAAGCTCGTCAATAAGGTCAAAAGTCACATTCGAAACTCAAAATGGACAGAATTAAGATTGCGGACCAACTGATACTGATAAAGATACAAAGGGGTTTCACATATCCTCGACTAATTTGCTGCCAACAATTCTTCGTTGTTGGCCAGCCTCCATCACGGATTCACGAACTGTCAACCAAATTCAAACAGAATCCGATGAAGTTCTCATCTAATACGTAAAACGGAATAATGGGTATGAATGAGTGATACATTCAATCAAATTACGAGTCGAATGAAACAAATTACTTATAACGACTGGAGAATGAACATGCCAAAAGGGTTCAATAGACATACAGGTAACGAAAAGGTCAAACTGAAGAGTCATACTAGAACAAGGTGAGCGAAATTATGTTTCCTTAGCAGGACCCTTCTTTGCAGACTCGGCAGCAGCTTTTTCTGCTTCAATCTCTGCAACAATGGCATCGATTTCAGCTTCCTCAAGTTGTCGGAGTCCCTCCTTTGTCATCACAGCAACTTCTATGTTCTTCCCTCCACTCTCAACAACCTAAGTTCATCAAACATAAATCATAATTTGCAACTTCTAATCAATAACTGTAACTATATATAACTATATATATATATATAGAGAGAGAGAGAGAGAGAGAGAGAGATACATATAGCATTTACTCAAACCTATATATATGTATGAATGCATTTTTGACTATACAGAGCTCTGTTGCTTGCAAATAAATTAAGGCTATGTTTGGCAAACTAGCTTGCTGTGAAGCTAACTGTTGGCTAATAAGCTAACCGATAAACCAGCCATGTTTGGTAGGGGGAAAAACTAGTTGATAAGCTAGATGACTGTAAATAATAACCTAAAAGGACATACTGAAAAGTTTTTGGAAAATAAGGTATATAATTGGCAGAAAAGAAACCCCCCAGAGCTTGTTGAAACACTACTTGAAGTAGTGTTTCAAAAAGCTAGCTCACGGCTAACCAAATGAGGCTTTTTCAACAAGCTCAAAAAAATAAGCTAGCTTATGGTTTAACAAACATGGCGTAAGAACATGCATGGTTTAATTGAACTTCCAACAACCATTTAAAATTTTCCATATGACCATAATTGTAACACTCCAAGGCCAAGATGGCAGAGGATGTAAATGTAATAATATCCAAATCAACCAAAACTATGATGGGAAATAATTAGTAGTCCACTGCTAAGAATTTGTAAGGAGATTACAACTCATGCTAGCAATTAACGAGGAATAGGATGTCAACTAACGGTGATTGATTAAATGAACATGAAATTCCTAGGCTGCACAGGTGTGATTGCAACCATATTAAGTGGGGAAATCTATTCATGGAAGAATTCACTACTGATGAACTCGATAATTACTGATTAACAAAAGAACTTGGATATAACTTATACGGTATACATGGTTAGTAGCGAATGACATCCACATAATGCAAGAAAGGGGTCTCCTTTGTGGTTTCGACATTTGAAGCATCACAATACTCATTAAACAAAGCAACCATCATCCTCAACAATTACATTGGCCCCTTTGTTTTCTGTCAGGTTAAGCTCCACTTGCTAATCGCTAGTCAACAATTTTGTTACATGGCAGAGTTAATTTGCAACTATAGATAAAACACTAAATTCGACTTATTGTTGTATACTACTCTTTTTATTCCCAGATCAGCAATGTTTATATAAGATCCTACAGCAAAATTATGATGATGTTGGTCATATAATTAGCAAAAAGGAATCTGATACAGAAGTTATACCATAAAGGTGCAAGCTTTGCTATTCCATGTGATCATGTATTTTATTACTTCAAATTTCAATGTTCAATGCATTAAACTTCATGTTTCTACTTTTTTATTCTTTCCTCTTTTTCAACTTAACCCAAGTCAAATAGTCAACTTATAATTCTTGGCACCTGCCTGGTTTCTCATCCCTATCCCGTAAATTTCGTATGTCTAAAATTAGTTGTTCTGACTAGTTTTTTAACCTGCGTGTGTTACCATATGCTTTGATGCAAATGAATCTGCAAGTTATCCTGTTGCTTATTAAAATACAGCTTACCTGCTCCGTTCACTACTATGTTTTCGTAAGGCTATATCAAAATAATGATAATAATAACTCATCACCAGCAGCCAGCAAAAATAAAAATATGGAGCTCTATACATGGTGGATGTAAGTCACTCTAAAGAATACTGATGTGGTGCTTAAGTGCCAAAACTAAACAGGGAAAGTAGAACTGTCAGCACCTACTTTGGAAAAATGATTTCATGAACTGTAGTTTGAAGGGGAAAACATCCTTCTTCTAACATCCCATGATGGCTAAGCCACTAAAACTTCGTTACACTTGAAATATTTTTGCTTTAAAAGTGTCAGATTGTCAAGGATCTTACATTACCTTGCAAAACAGGTATGTGTAAGACAAATTCATCTGATGAATCAGAACTGACAGTGCATATCACCAAATACACGTGAAAGGGAAACATTATTCAGGTTCTAAAATAACCCAAGTGATGAAAATGTAAACCTAAGTCTGACTGTAAAAAAATAGAAACTACAATCACATCCCCCCACCCTCTATTGAATAAAGAAATCCACCTACACACTCATGGCTTGATGTTCAGGATGATGAACCTATGACTTGATCTCAGATGGGTAAATGACTTGTTACCTTAAGAAAATGCAATGGGTAAATGACTTGTTCCAGTTCAACATTTAAAAACCCAATTCTATAGGTTCAAGAATCTCATAACTGAAATGACCCTGAGTTTGGGCAAATGAGATTAGCACCAATGCAGTAAAAGTGGTCCTCGGGATAATAACCAGAAATGATACAATTGGTTGACAAACAGACTACTGAAAGTTATAGAGTGAAGTCCTAGTAGTCCCTAACATGTGCCAGCAAAGAAAATTTACAATTACAGAGCACCAAATAAGATGTGTAATAAAATGGCAAGGCAGCTTATCAATACTTACCTCAAGCAGCGCACGGATGGCAAGTTTTATAGTTTCTTGACCAGAGGTCTCTTTGTAATTCTTTTCTAGAAATTCCCTCATGGAATTGGAGTTCCTACCAGTGGCATTAGCTTTCCAAGCAGAAAATGTCCCTGAAGGATCTGTCTGATATAATGATGGAACATTGGTATAAGGATCAAATCCTACAATTAGAGTTGAAAGCCCAAATGGCCTGACACCACCACTTTGTGTGTATTTCTGTTGAAGACCTGCTATGTAACGTGTGATATACTCTACAGTTACTGGATCCTCAACAGTAAGCCTATGGCTCTGGCACTCGATCCGTGCCTTGTTAATAAGAACGCGGGCATCTGCTTTAAGCCCAGCACAAGCCAATGCAATATGATCATCCAGGCTTACAATTTTCCTAACTGATCTGCAAACACAAGAAAAAGGACTCAGAAAAGGATTACCAACAGCATAGCACTTAATTTGCTACAATCTAGTGATCATGGTATAGGATGCAACCTCAAACCAGTATTCAGAACTGTCCCACAATCAAATAGCTGTTATATATGCATATAAACTTGAGGTTGTTTTCAGAGTGTTCAATATAGTGAATATCGACAGAGACAAACATTTATGCCATTAACACTCAGTAAGGTAAAGCATTTGTAAAAGTGAAGTTCAAAGATATAACCTTTCATGCATGCTTCCATAACAACTCTCACCCCGCTTGTTATCCAATGCAAAAGGGATATAAATATCTGGTGGTGGCTACGTCTTAGTACAGAACTAAGTTCGAACCTCTCATTTGATCATTTTATATTTGACAGCACAAACCATGATTTGTATCAATGTTTCAGTGATTTTACGGGAAACAAGGGTAAAGTGACTCCTATATCAATCTTATATCACTGTACCAACTGATCTGCCAATCAATCTTTGCCTCAAATTCTTTCCATTCAACTTAACACAACATAATCTACAGATACAATTTCCCAGCTGATACAAAATCTTAGTGCCACACATATTAAGGTATATGCTTCATACTTGTGTCACTGAAAGGCTAAATGTGTGCTCTAAAGCCTGTTCCTTTTTGAACTACTGGATCGCAATTAGGGTTTGAAATGTATGAGCATGTCTGCCAATATTTCGCATCAATATCAAAATATATCATTTGAATTTAAGAAAAAAAGAAGACGAAATCGCAACAAAAAGGCGTATTCACAAATGAGACCCAAATCAAATCCACAATAGCTCTACCAAATACCATTGAACAGTCAAATGACGATTTCTTATTCATATAAGCAAATAAGAGAGAGTTTCGGTGAACCTCGAGTCTTGAAGTTTAACGGTAGACTTCTTCTCCACTCCGAGGACGATGGTGTCGGTCCCACGAACACCGACGGCGGCGTTACCCTTGCGTACGGCTTCCAAGGCGTACTCAACTTGGAAGAGATGGCCATCCGGCGAGAAAACCGTTATAGCTCTGTCGTATCTCGCCATAGATTATGAGATTTTAAAGAAAATTTAGGTTTTCGTACTGGGATCGAACTTTTAGCTTTGATCTGAGACAAAAAATGCAGAGCTCTTAATATGCGAAGTGCTCTCTCGACTTTGGGAGCAAGGCAGCTCAATTAGAAAAGGTACAAACTAGACCCCCAAACTTTAGTTAAATTCAAAATCGGCCTAAAACTTTGGTTAAAATCTAGATCGGCCCACAGTTTGGTTCTTTATTTTCAGTTTACCCCATCGAGTGCACTAAGGATATCAGATATTCGGGTTTAACAAGTCATAGTTAACTTTATCTGTTAGTAGAGAACTAGAAGGGTACTCGTACAATGCAACAAGATACATTTTGATTTTAATGTTTCATTTTATTTATTTCTTTGTCTCAATCAGTGTTATAATACGGTTTTATGTGGTCTTGAGGAAGCGATAATGTTTTTATTTTTGAATAAAATATAAATATGAGGATATCATAACAAAATGAAAAAAAATATTGATATTAGTATAAAACTAACTACCTAAATTTTCTTTTGTTTAATAATATAATTTTTATGTTGATGATAATTAAGTATTTTGTTAGAAGTTAATGATTATCCTAATTATATTTTAGATTTTTTATATTTAAAATGAAATGTTTATCCTCTATTTTATTATGTTTATTTGCAATTAGTTACACGAATTCAAACATGAAGCTTTAATAAGTTGTACTTATGCATAATTTACTTGTAATCTTGAATTTTAAATAATATGCATCAATAAACAATGTTTCATGCATAAAAAATGGTTTTTAAGAGTTTTTGTTAAATGCTTTATAATATAGTATAGATAGAGATGCACAATGACTATTTAAGAGCCCGAATAAAGCTCAGTTTAACAAGTCAAAAAGAAATCCAAGCCTTCTAAAGGACGATTTCGGTTTAGCATGGAAAATAGGCCTTGATCTGATCCTTTCGGTCGTAATATGTCCTATTTTTTAAATAATGGAACATATAAAAGGAAATTCATCTATAAGGCCTTGTTTGTTTTTTAGTAAAATACTTTTATCAATCACTTATGTCTGATTCATTAAAAGGTAGGGTCATTCAGACTGTTTGTTTTTTTCAAATTTTCAGAGACACTTATGTCTTATTGTCCTCTAATCTGGTAAGAGGTACATCAAATTTTTATTTGTCTCTTATTATTCTCCAGACCCTAGACAACCCCAAGAACGACGTTTCTCAATCGATTAACCTTAATATGTCATTTATCTCAATCGATCATTATCAAATCAATCCTCATATCTGTCAATTGATGAATGTGTTAAATACCATCAATGACATATTTTTGTTTAATTGAATGTTAATTATATAATTTGGATGTAAATTTCGTAATGATGATGAATAAAATATGTAAAAATGGTATAAATTTATCTATAAATTCAACACTATAATTTTCTAATGGGACATATTAAACAAATTCAAACATTTATCAGTTTACAAAAACAAACAATCTTATTGATTCGGATTTCAGACTTCAGTACCACCTCTTATTAATCGGAAGTAAAACAAGATTTCAGACTTCAGCACCTCTTAAAAACAAACACCACTTAAGTGTTATATGTTCGATTTGATTGTTATAACTTTTTGAAGTTTAATATGGTGGACATATTAACTCGATGTCCATTCTCCAATTTTCAGAATTCAGGTTTTAATTATTCATTTTTTATTTTTTGTATTTATCTTCTTTTAGAGTATTTGATAATTCCTTATCAATGATGTTAGAAGTTGTAACGTGGTTTTGCTCTTCTTCAATTTCTACAAGACTGCTTTCCGGTGATCTTTCGTGTTGAATTCGTCCATTCTTATCGTAGTAATCCTTCAAACAAACATATTTGGAGAAGAGGATCCACAAGGCTCAATCAGAAGGATTGAGGTTAGACCGTGCGACGGAAGTCAAGTTGAGCCTGCAAACTCCACAAGTCATTGTACGGCTTCTACCATAATGTAAACGACGCAAGTGTTTGCATCAAGTGTACGAAGGGTGTGCACACTCACCTTTTACTATATGCTGATGGCATGTGGATAGCGTCCAAGGATTCTGATGAGATCGAATGTTTAGCGAAGCATCTAAACACTATTATAACAAAATTGATTTTATAAGATGCCTAAAATGTAGAAGCATCCTGAAAGAACACTTCACGGAACTTAAGTTTATAGGACCAAACCAAAAAACATTTTATCTAAAAAGGGGGATAGTATTCAAGAGATATTAAAGTGAGCATAACTTTATCAGTTATTAGGACTTAAAATTATGCAGGTGATCAGGACAAGCGCAAGTCAACCTCATGATATGTGTTCACATTATACGGAAAAATCATTAGTTGGCGTGCCAAGTCTTAGAGGTTGTTTGGTTGATTTTTCATTAAGTCTTGCATGGATAAAGCTATCTATGTTGATTAATCTGTATGTATAGATTGGAAAGATTTTTGTTTCAAAGAGTTTTTTCATGTGTTTTTAATTAGGAGGGACAAGTTTGGAAGAAAAAAAAAATCCTTCTTGCATAAAGCTCATTCCTATAAGTTTATCGAATAAGTCACTTTCTATATCATTAAGCTACTACTAAATAGTCATGTATAATTAACCGAATAAGTTGTGAGTCTCATTATCATGCTAACAAAGAGGCTTGAAGGACATATACTTTAGGCCTTTTATTATTAAAATTGGATTGTTTATATAAAAGACGTCCAACAAATTAATATTTTTTGGGCGTATTTTTATTGGACTCAATTAAATATTGGAGATTAATTAATTAATTTCTTATTTAATTAATATATTAAATTTAAGTCTATTTTAATTTAATATATTGGTTTAGTTAGAATTAATATTAATTCATTAATTATTTTTTAAGTATATAATATTTATATACGGTAAATGCAATAAATAAACTCACACACCCTTCTTATTTTTGGTGAGGTTTGAACTCTTGACTTCTTAGGAGACCAAGGACTACGATATCGTTAGGCCAAATACCTTTTGGTTAAATAATTAATTGTTCATAGAGTGGTGATTACTATAAATCATTTAATTATTTAGATGATTTAATAAAATGATTAAAACGTCATAATTGAGTCAAATAACTACTGGGCGTTTAATTTGGAGAGATGGAGTTTATAAAATTATAGGCTCATTAATTTGACGCCATGGGACGTCATTGAGCCGAACACTCGGGTTTGACGAAGGTTGACTTTTGATCCATTTAACCCATTGGGGTTTTAACGATGGGAGCTCTTTGGAACGTACACGGAGACTTGGTTTTGGATGTTGACTTTAGGTTATATTGGGTTTAAACATAGTAGACTTTTGTTGACTTTTTGGCAAATTAAGCCACATATAGTATTTTGGTGTATGCCATGTAGGTCACTAAGTGAAGGTTAATTGTTTGGACACACACGCTCACTAGCATTTGTGAGATGTATACACATGTAAATAAATTAATTTGACATATTATTTATTTGGAGTTAAGTATGTTATGCACGGTGACTTATTTTCACGTACGTGTTTAAGGGTGTATGTTTACATGTATGTAATATTTGTGAGGTGTTGCATGCTACTCGTTTATTGGTTTTCAAACATCATTAGCGTAACATTTTGGAGTTGGTTTTCATGTGGCACATTATGGTATCAATATTTAGGTACGTGATCTAGCTTCATACATCGCATTTAAGAGTGGCGCGACCCTAAAATGGCCCCATGGAAGGGTGTGAGCCGTGCAACTCAAGGAATGTCAATTACAGAGCGGTCCCTACTCGGTGAGGTAATTTTTGAGATCTCGTCGGTGTCAAATGTTTCTGAAACAACATGCATACTTTTTGTTAGTGTTTAATATTTATACATGTTGTGGAGTGCGTAGTTGTGTGTACATAAACCATGAACTAACTTAGTTTTTTAGCTGACTATTAATATGCATCTCAGGGGCTGGTGGTTCGGGTTTAGACAAAGGGAAGGGCAAAGGTTAGATATGTTTCTATATGATATATTCCTTTTATGTTTTGCTATTTGTTAAACGTATTACTGTTATGTACTCGGTTTTTATGTATCTTAGCCTAGTATGGGACAAGCTAATGTTGGAGATTTATATTTTAACTACTTTAAGTTAACACTTCCGTTGTGGTGGTAATTGATTGTATTTTATCGTCACGATCGATGATATGAGGTAGTATTAGTTCTTTTGTGTAGGAATACATGAATACATGATGATTTCGCTCGTGACGTACATGCGATGAGATTCCAAAGTTTGAGCATCGCTTGAAGCTCATTCGTTGGCCCAATTGTTAATGTCATACTGTGGCATGAGCGGATAGGTAGATTGTTATGGTGGTTCGCATTTGGGTGAGTTTGAAGTGTGATTGTGGTTTGCGACAGAGGTATGGCATATTGTTTTGGATTTACGTGTTGACAGGTGATGGTCATGCAGAAGCTTATTGACACGTGAGTCGTTTATGTTGCCTATCTCATTTTCATGATTGTGATCCATTGTGTCATGTGTGGCCTTGGTGTCAAGGTAGAGTCTCGTGATTTATATGTGACACCAAGGGCCATACCAGGCTATATATGATCGTGTTATGCCATTGAGGCAGGCGACATAATCGTGGTAAGGATCACGTACGACCTATGTTAGTGTGACACACGATCGTGGCAAGTGGCATGACCGAAATCTGGATCGCGTTGGGTAGAAATCTTCAAGAAGTTACGGTACACAATCAATTATACTGGCAAAGCTGGAGATCCTCGCAACAGAACCTAAGAACATCTTAAAGAAAAAGTCAGAGCTTCTCGCGATTGAAGAAATGAATTTTGTAATTGAATTTCCATTTTACCTCCCTCTCCTAGTCATATTTTCATTTTAAAGTTTATCACATTTTCATAAATTAAATTCATATAACTAACTGATAAATATAATCAAATACATGATAAACATCTCATTTAAATATAAATAATCTAAAATATAATTAGAATAATCATAGTTTGATACTAATATCGATATAAATTTTTACGGGGTCTTCAAATTTATATTTTATTTAAATATAAGATCATTATCGTTTTTTCATAACCATATAAAACCGTGTTATAAAACCGACATAAACAAATAACAAAACGAAACATTAAAATCGAGATGTATCTCGCTACATTGTACGAGTATGCTTTTAGTATTTTAACAATACTAGAAGAGTACTCGCGCAATGCAGCGAGACATATATCGATTTTAATGTTCTATTTTATTATTTGTCTTTGTCGATGTTATAATACGATTTTATGTGTTTTTTAAAAGAAATAATGATTTTATTTTCGAATAAAATATAAATTTGAATATATCATAAAAATTTGAAAAA